TTATGGTTGGAGATGAGGTCATAGAAACACCACGGGATTCATTAAAGGCGGCCAACCTTTTCATAAAAATATCTCTTTCTGTTTCCTCGCCCATATTGTCAAACTTCATGGACCTTTGTAGATCAAGATCAGCCGAATATTAACTGGAATGCACAGAGAAAGAAAAAACGAGGTAAAATTATGAAAAAATTGAGATAAAATGATTTAAAGACAAAGGATTCACCATCATAATATTAACTTGAAAAAAAAGGAGAAAGATGAAAAGAAAGGAAAAGGAAGGGAAAAGATAGAGAAAGAGGGAGAAAAAACACAAAGAATAAATTTTCTCCTTTCTTTTGTCAAGTTCTAATTGCAACAATTGAAAAGTTATTTACTTAATTTCATAAACATAAGATGAGAGGATTGATTGAACTTATGTATTAATCTCACTTGAATGGGAAAACTCACCAAAAAAACCGAGAGCAAAATCAGAAAAAAGTATCATTACAGCTCAAAAAAGAGATTTTTCTCAAGTCAAATAACAAGATGGCGAAAGAAGAGAAAGAGAAAGAGAGAAACAACCCTTATAATAGGAGGCGCTTCACACTACTTACTTTCTTTTCTGGCTTGAAAAGCTGTCTAGTTTTTGCATCTAAAGATGATGATGGTGATGATGTTGCTGTTTAAAAATTAATTGTCATTGTGATTTAAATTAAATTTTATACACTTTTATCGGTTCAAGGAAAGACACAAAGATTTAATTAATGGAAATGATTAAATTAATAAGATGAACAGAAAAATAAAGGTTAAATTTATTTAGTTACAATACAAATCAATTTTTGTAATTGACCTTTTTTAGGTTCGACCAGCCAACCTGTATAGCGTTTTGCAGAAAAAGATAGATTCACGCATGTTCTTGTCTTCTTATGGGTGGTAAGTAGATTTGGGCGAATCCTTTATCCAAATCCATTGAGTAGATCCAAACAAATCTGAGCTGGATTCACAATCACTTTTAATTTATTTAATTGTAACTGTAATTTAGTTTTTTCTTCATGTTTTATCATTTTCATGATTAACAAATTGTCTATTAAATCTTTGAAATTGGTTCAAAGATTCAACAGTTTGTCAACTATCACGAAACCAATGAGATGATATTTCCAACCCAACATCTTCGTCTGTCTCCTTCAATCTACTCTTCACAGTATCTGAATAACATTTCATTTCATGGAAACTCAATTTTCTGCAATGTATCGGATCCAACAGAAACTCTAAATCCTGTTATGCCTATTACTTCCATGATAAAGTATCAGTAATACTGAACCAGGTATCTGAGCAGTGAAACTGGCTTAACTCTAAAAGCAGTTGCTCTTAAAATAGTCATTGATCGTATTCATTATTTAACAGGAAAAACATTGGTGAACAATATTTACATGTAATTCAATCCAAAAATTGTGATCTTATCCGAGATCATGAACGTTTATTGATCTTTTTAATTTATATTGCTAAAGAGTGCACCATTCACCACAGTTGTGATCATATTTTGGTAAATCTTTACCAGCAAATTATCTGTTAAATTATGAAAACAGTTGGAATAAAAAAGTTAATTAATTTGCCATTAGATCGAGATAAATTGATCATTTCACAGTTGAAATTTGCAGTTCAACAGTTGTGATTCATTTGTTTAATTAAATGGTCAATTGGTGGTTTTCAGGTCTTTTTAAGGGAATCCGCTTTAACTTATTCTCCTCAATAAATTGATTGTTGATACACATTCCAATTTAGATAGTCGTAGTTTAGTCAAATGCAAGATAAAATTATAATTAATTCGATATATCGAGATGTATATCGGTATATCGATGCGCATTTCGATAATCTAATTAGGATGTTGAGTCATTTCATTCATTTACAGTTTAATTTTAGTTAAATCCTTGATTATAATTTGAGTGAACAGTTAATTGTCCATCTCATTTAATTAATCTATTGTTACTCATCAAAACATGGATCCGAAATAAGTTAATTATTGAACTTAATGTTACTCCTGAAAATTTCAAGCTTACTTTGGTTAGTTGCTTTCACGAGCAGTAGATGGTAATAAGGGCAATAAAAGGTAATGGGAATTATCTTTTTACAACTAGTGTTTCAACTCAATTTAATCATTAACTCTTACAAGTAAACAAGTGAATTAGTGACTTTTTACCGATGACTTGGACTTAATTAACTCTTTTGTTAAGTCAATTTTAAGAGGAATGTTCACTCTTTCTATTTTAACACCTTTCCATTTTCAAGCAATGCATTCTTAGCTACTGTCAATTAGACTTAAGGCGACTTTTCGATAATCTTTATTTTGTTTATTTTAAATCCTCGACAATCTGTTTCTAGTTTTCACCTTTTATCTCCACTCAAATCTGTGATTCAGTTTCAATGTCTACCCTTTGTGCTCTCCTATTTCACCTCAACTCGTTTTGCTTTCTTATGTTGAATCACTATTCAACCAATCTGATAACTCGTTGAACTTTCCTAACTGTGATTTGAATGGAAGAACGCTGTGAAAGCTTCTATAAGGCTTTTTCATAATTGACATCGTAAGTTTACCAATCAGCTGGTGCTTTTTTAATTTTCAGTTTTTTTAAATTCTCGTTAATCTCAAACTAATTATTGCTTTGCTTTTTAATTACTGATTTTTTCATTTCAGGGTAATCCATTAGCTATTGATTTGAAATTATGGAAGTGCAACCAAAGTCTCAGAACCTGAATCATCCCATCTTTACTTATTAATTTTCCATTCAATATATGGACGAATCTGAAGGCAAAACAGTCTAACGGTTAATTATGATGGATTCAATTAGTAATTATGAACTCTAAATCACAACTTAAGACAATGTGAAGGTATCTAAGCATCTAAATACTCTTCATTGATTATATACTAAAACTAACTAAAACTATTGTATTTTTTATAATTAGGAATATTCAAACAAAAATTACAGGATGGATAATTTTATCAAAACATATGTGAAAATCGCTGCTTAAAAAATTGGAATCTAATGGTTAAACCAACTGATGCTGTACCAAAGCCACCACAGTGTGAAATAAAGTTCAATTTATTCCTGTTCCCCAGCCAACTTTGGCTAACTTTATTCAACATTTACCAATGTAGCCGTTAGCATATTAACTTGGATCAAGTTTGACTGACGAACTGGGGTCCATTGAAATTACTTTGCTCAAACAATATAACCTGAAATCCCAAATGGCTACAGTTAAAATTAAAACCAACCAGTTCACATTTCAACATGTTTCCACACTTGAAGAATGACTTGAATTCATATCAACAAGCTTGAGCTCTAACCAAGCAATTCCCATAGAGTTGACCATCGATTCCACCAGAAGCTACCCTTTTCAATCAAAATATCTGTTAATGGCAAGAAAATAAACCAGCCATTGTATAAAGTCATTGACTAAATTGTTGTAATAGATTCTATGTAAGTTGATTACCTTATAACAAAGAGTAAATAAATGTAATTGTTTGCAATCATTTACATATATTGACTTTTTATTACACAAATTTACAAAATTAACCGAAAAATTTGTATACAGACTATCTATTTGTATGTAAACTACAAGTAACATTAGCATGTTGATCAACCAACGGAGACCACTACACAAGCAACAAAAAAAGATGAATATTTGCCATTTAAATTCAACGGATACATCTCATTCCCTAATGCAAATCAAGAATGGAAAGGAAAAATACCCAAAAAAGGAAGGAACCAAAGTGACCCTAAAAAGTACCATTCGCTTGATTTATTGTTAACATTTGGATTTATTCATATTTCAATATTCATCTTCACCAACCAAGCCAAACAGATTATTTAAACATAAAAAAATAACTCATCAACAAAATATGCATAAAGTATTGGATTAAACTAGTCAAACCAGAGGATTTCTGAAAGACAAGTAACAAGATATAAAAGAAGAAAAGAATGTTGGAAATAACTTGAAAACAATTTTACATGATCCAGGTGAAGAGAAAAGGAAAACAAGAAGATAAAAAAATGTACAGAATTTAAAGGTAATCAGGAGCAAAGAAAGATGAATCGATGATGAAAATGGTGATGATAAAACTCCCAACTGATCGCGCCAACTCATTGAATGATACACTCATTGGCAACAATTGGTTAAAAGAAGAGAGGAAAAGACAAATTCTTATAGAAAATTTTGACTCTAAAAAGGTAACTTCTCAACTGGTTAACTTTTGGTACAACTCTTGCAGTGAAAGTAGAAAGGTGTAAAAAAAGTAGAGTCAGTTTATCAACACAAATCAAACTGATCATCAAAGCCATCATCTTGTTACATCTGCAAAAGCATTTGAAAAACATCTGAAAGTGAACAATAAAACTCTGAAGCAATTCTTGTCAAAACAATTGATTCCCAGCATCAAGCAAAACCTGATAAAAGAAAGCTACTTTTCAAAAGGATCTCATTTTTCATCAAACAAATTGATTCCTGTTATTTAAATCTTTCAAAGTTGCTATCCATATAAAAGCTTTCATCAAGTGTAAAACTCACCCTCATCATTTTAACCATCATTTCAACCATCACTTTCACCACCATCATTACCATAATTGTTGAAGATTTGCAGAAGAGAAGAAAAAAAATCGAGTTAAATCCACAAATAATTGGAACCAAATCTAAAGGTTAGTCATTTACCAACTGTTAATTATACCATCAATAGATCAACACTTGATCATTACCAGAAGATTCCGATAATTTACCCATTTTATCAACACCAGAGCTTTGATGAAAACTATTGCTATTCATTTTGAATTGCCAATTGAAGTGACAAATGGAAACTTTGGATAATTGATTTTCCTAAAGTGAAGAAAGGTTCCATTTTTTGTTCCTGTTCATCTTTCAAATTTTCAAGATAATCCGTTTTTCCTTCTACTATAATCACATTGAAAAGGTGAAACTCTTGAAAAATGGAATATTGATGGATTAATATATTTCCATATAAAAAAATGTAATACACAATCAATAACAATTTCAGAATCTTGTTCACCTTTTTTGTTGTTATATCAGATCATTTCTTGATATTTAAATGGCAACTTATCCTCTAGCAAAGTAACAACCTTTTTCCATGATAACAAGGAAATATCTTTTACCTCAAACTGATATCATTTTACTTTTCCCCATCGTTCATCGTTCATCTTCGTTCTTTTCATTTCTACTTTTCTCTCTTCATCTTTCCAATCCTTCTCATCCATACATCTGTACATTATTACATCAATAGTTTTACAATTGAATGGTTTGCAAAGAAGCCAATCTAAAAAGCAGCAAATGAAGAAGAAGAAAAAAGCTCAACATTTTCACGACGAAAATCATCTTCTTACCCTAATTACTGTTGACCTTTTCACTGATATCTTTCCATAACAACATGATTAAGATGAGCCCAGTGAAATAATCAAATCTGCAGTTTCCAAAAAAATAAGTGCAATGAAAAGCAAATTAGAAAGACAAAAAAGACGAAATGAAAAATCAATTAAACAATAGGCTTTAGTAAACATTTTGTTGCCTTATTATTTCCCAACCTTTTTCACTCCCTGCTCTTACCTGTTACACAAGAAGAATGTTAATTCTCAATGATTAACTTGCTAAAAATAGATTATCTTTCTAAATTGTCTATCAAGACTTAATAATCAAAAGAAGACAAAGCTTTGAAAGTAGAAAAGTCAAAGTAATTAATTCAAATTCATTGTTAACAATAAGTTGACAAAGTTGCTGATGAATCTGCAAACTTGATCAGATGCAAGGATTCATAAATATTGAAAAAGGTAAAAGAAGCAAATGAAAGATTATCTTCAAATGAATTGTTTCAGGCAACCCAACAATCCAGAAAAAACTGAGCTTCTCTTTAATGGTCTTCATTATTAGATTATTAGAGTTTAATAATTGTATTGAAATTTTAATTAATAACTCAACTAAAGTTAATGAAGAGTCTAGGAAATGTTTAACCCAAAAATGGCGGAAAGATAATGATGAACCAGAAAAAGACTGAACACTGTTACATATGTTAATATTTGCCTTCAACTGTTTGTATAATGATTGTTTTATTGAGTCTGTAATGAGAAACTTGTAAACTTGTTAATAACAATTACAATTGAACGTTGAATATTATCAGTGAATCAACCATTTAGTCAACATTGACCAGAAAAGAGTCTTGTTGATGTATAATAACCCAAATTGGATTCACCTTTAAACGATAATGAAGATGAAAGGGAAAAACATTAAACAATGCAACTTGAAGATTTCAATTAAATTGTTAGACTTGATAACATCTTATTGGCTTGTTTAATCAACAAGCATGAACAGTTGAAAAATAAAATACAGAAATTAATTTATATTTCCATTTTAAACATCTCAATGAATGAATCTTTTTCACAGCTTAAAGCTTATTTGCTTGTTATATGATAATATTTGATGAAGCAAAGATGAAAAGATGAAAATGGTGAGATAAATTCATTTCTCGGAGTTGCTTTTTTTCATACTGATAAAAAGCTAGTGTAAATAGCTCAGGGCATCAGTTTGCTTGAAATGGTAAATAATATTTTTTCAACTTCTGAATCTGCTGTAAGCATCTCTTCATCTTGCCATCAACATTTCATCGTTTCATCCATTTTCCCATCTTTTTTATGTTTGTCTCTTGTCTAATTGTTCAATGTTGAGTTGATCAAATGTTTAGTAAATTAAATTTTTCATCCGACAAAACTTTTTGCTTTTCATTCCTGTTTCTGTGATGATTTCACGTTTCCATTCAACTTTAAACAATTGACATTATAATGAATTATCAACTAATCAGGAAAAATAATGAAAAGCTGACAAGCGAATGAGAGAAATGAAAAGGTTCAACTTTTCCTTTCATAATTATCATGAGAGAAGACAAAAAATTGATAACATTTCATCTTGAAACATTCAATTCGTTAGTTTACTGTTAACGGTAGAAAGATAATTGTCTTCATCTTTTCTCTATTTTCAAATTATTGTCATTCTGTTTCAATTTTCTGGTTTCTTCAATCATTTCTATCTTTTTCCCTTGTTCAACTTTTTCTTTACTAACATTGCCTTGTCCAGTCGATTGGACATGAGACCTTAACAATTAGATGAAAACGAGGAATAACTTTCATCTCTTCTTCAAGTGAAAGAAACAAAAGCTGATAACTTCATCACCATCAGACTCATGTTCACTGAAAATCTCTCGACATGAAAACATCTCAACATTTACCCATTAAAACTCATATTTAGCTCATTCCTTTATTTCCCTCACAGCATTGATCAATGATTCCAATTGATATATCAATCCATCACCAATTAACCCTGGATGTTGAAGAGACAAAAATTGTCCATCTTTTCCTCAAAATCGATCATTCTCTTCATTTCAATCTATTTATAGTCGATTGAGAAAAGATTTACTGATTTACAAATTCATTTCAACACGAGTCGAGATTAGATTTGATTAAATTAGACTTTTAAAGATTAACTTTGACTTTGTTTTGTAACCTTTTTGGTTTTTACTTTTCGTTTATCATTACAACAACAATTCAATTGAATTCATTCAAATATTTACCTTTCAATGTTTTTTCTCATGAAAATTTAAACTCTCAAAGGTAAACAGGTAATTCAGTGAATAACAAGAATATAATGAAGACCGAATATAACTGACATTGAAATGCGAGTGAAAAATGATTGAAAGAACGCGAAAGAAAAGGAAAAAAACATTTTCAAGTTTCAAGTCTTTATTTCATTGAATTGCATAGACAATAGCATAAGGTTTATCATGATTTCGGAACTTTCAGCGCCATCCACCACCACCGCCGCCGCCGCTTTTACCTCCCCCACAGCCACCAGCTAAACGAGATTCAGTTTCGTAGTTTCCATTCATTACACTTCGTTTTCCTTTCTTGCCTTTCTTTGCTGTAGTGAAACTGATGAAAACTAGAAGAAGAGAAACAAGAATTAGAGCAAAATTAAACTTCATTTTGATCACTTTGATGATAACAATTGACTGATGAAAATTGCAAACTGAAACTCGCTTTATATAGCAATTTTGATGAACATTTAACCAAACAAAAAAAAGTTATTTTGATTAAAAAAAGGTTGACTGTTAATCATAATAAAACTGTTTACCAGTTTGAAATGTCAAGGAATCAGTTTGATCAAACTTTCCATCTGATTAAATTGTAATGAACTGAAGTAAAGTCAGGGAAGAGGTTCATTTCAATGTCAATGTTTAAACAAAAGTGTTCAACAATTGTAGACAATTGTTTAATCAGTAATCATTTGATTAACCCAAATGATTAGATTGATCAGGTTAGAGTTGAAAAGCAAAGAGTAAAACCTTTTCTTGTTGTTTTTTGGGTTCACATTTTTTTCTGGTTCTTGACTAAATTTTTTTCCTCTTTTACATCAACATTTACTTTTAGACTTTATTATTCATTAATCATGTAACAATTGACAAATGGCTTTGAAAATGTTATTCATGGTTAAAGGTTAAATCATCAGTTAAATAAGCACAAGATGAACGTCAAATGATTAGCAACAATTGCAATTGAAAGTTGCCTGTAGGAGTTGCATTCACTTGTTCATCTGCCTAAAGGTTAACCATTTTTTGATGAGCATGAAAATTATGCTGCAAATAAGTTATCATTATTATTCTGGTAACTTGGGATGCTCTCAGCATGTCATTTGAATGAATATAAATACAGAATCCCCTGGAATTTGGATGTATGATGTGTTCATAAGTGTGTGAGTGGTTCAGTTTAGAGTAAATATTCAGACACAAAAATTCATAAATAATACTCACAACGAGAAGAGAAGAAACAGCAAAAAAAATAAATGTCTAATTCAAAGCTTATTATTCTGGTTCAATGTCATTAATCAGATCGCGATTCCCAATTAGAGTATAATCTTGATCATCACCAATCAACGTGATAACAAGAGAAAATTATCTAAAAGTGTTTCGCCGAGAAAATGGAAATTATTGATTTCGAATGAAACGGAAAAAAAATTCTCTTCTTTTCATTCTTATAGACGTTCAACTCTTTCTGTCATCATGAATCTCTAGATTCAATTTTCTTCGATGAAACAATATTCTTTGAAAGGAAATTTTAAACAGAATATGAGATTTTTTGGTCAATTTTTTTGCTCTTCTCTTCATTCCCATTTCCATGGTAATTTCATATTGAATCATGATAATTATGCGCAAAAAAAGTTTTCCATTTTTTCCTCTTTCATGGAAAAAAAGTCAGCTTTTTTCTGCCTTTCCCCTGAAAATGATGTCAAAGGTAAACACTAAGAATATCTCTTGGGAAATCATTATGATGTGTACTTTGTGATGAATTGGTAAAACATGGAAAAATGAAGCAAAGTTTTTGCACCCGAAATTACAGGTAATGAAAGTTATAGAGTTAAAGGTTAATTTGCAACCAACTGTGGGAGTCAATTTGATCATATTTCAAGTTGTGCTTTTCACATGATAATTACGAGTAAATTTTCACCATGAAATAATTATATTTCCTATTAGGAGAAAATTATTTATCCAGAAATGAATATTTGAAAGGATTTGCAGAGAAAAATGTTAAAAGATTAATCTTCAACTTTTTCAAGGGAAGCTTAAAATTATCAGATTAAAATTGGAAAA